GTGTGTGCGTGTTGAGTGTGTGTGCGTGTGCAATGTGTGTGCGTGTGCAGTGTGTGTGCGTGTGCAATGTGTGTGCGTGTGCAATGTGTGTGCGTGTTGAGTGTGTGTGTGCATGTGCAGTGTGTGTGCGTGCACAGTGCAGCCGCGGGTGGGCGTGCGCAGGGAAGGTCTAGCAATGCAGGAAGGTGGACGTGTGCTAGCAATGAGTTGAGCTGTGGTGAGCAAAGCCAGCCCCTGTCTGCAAGAGCTCTGATCTCCTCACCGCCGTGTGGCTGCACTGCTGCACTGTGAGCATCCGCACGGGCAGGTGGGGGTGGCAGTGGTCCAAACCAGCGCCTCCCCCACCTACAAACAGCTCTGGATGGAGATCGGTGGCCATCATGTGCTGCTGAAGGCTTGGGCACTGGCGTGTTGGGCTGAGACGCTGCTGCAGCAGTTCTGTGACCCAGCGTGTCCATTGCCATCTCAAAAAACAGTGCTGAGGATCTGGGCTGATGGGCCAGGCTGGCATGGACTCAGCCCAGAGCCTCAGGGATGAGCCCAGAGTGAAAATGAGGTGTTGTTTTTCAGGAGTGACATCGCTGGCATCACAAGCTGTGCGTACCCCAGTGCACTGCCCCATGGAGCACAGGGAGCTGCTTCAGATCCGTGCACACTAAAGGGATCTTGACAGTAATTTGTAGCAGAAGTTGGGAATCCTCAAGGATGGTGAGCAAATCATCCCCAGCTGTGAACCTAAGTTGCCCCAAAGGGGATCACAGGAGATTTGGGTAAAAAAGCACCTTCCAGCAAAACAAAGGTGACCTCTCTCCATCCTTCCTTATGCTGCATAAGGGAGGATGCAATTAGCTCCAGCATAGCATCATTAATAACAGCAGAAGTGCCAAATGCCCTAGGTCCACATGTGGCTTACAAAGTCGTCTGGACAGAAAGAATTTCCTTGGCAGATGGAGCTGGATAAACCCATTTTGATTTTATTTTCACTGCAAAACACTTTCTCTTGCTCAGGACATAGCCGAAGGATGATGTATGTGAGGAGAAAGCACACAGTAAATGCAGCCCAAGAGGGATTTTCTAGCGCTGTCCCAGTGTCAGCAGGAGCTGCTGCCAAGCTCAGCATCTTGATGAGATAATAAGTGATTTTGGAGAGGAGCTTTAATTAAGCTTCTGCTAAATGTCCTGTCTCCTTAATTAAATAACAATTTGCACTGTTGGAATGTTGGGATGCAGCTGAAGCCTGAGCTAACGTGCTGTACCTAACTGCAGTGACAGCCAGTGTGCTGCTGAGCCAGCTATGAGCCCAGATTAAAGGTCCTTGTGTTGGTAGCCTACCTCAGGCTATAGATAGCCATGCTCCATCTCTGCCGTGGGTCTTGCATGGGGATGCAGGAAAGTCATCAGGAGGAGTTGGTTTTCCCTGAGAAGACCCCATACCTGCCTCAGCAGCCTCTTCCTGTGCGTTGCCTGGCAAAGACTCCAGGTTTACCTACAAAACCCCAATTCCTAATTTTTTTTAATAAGTAAACTGCTCAAGAAAGCCAGGGGATGCTGGAAGCTCTGGCTGCAGGGAGCAAGTGGGGCATGATGGATGAATTTCATCCTTGCCCTGTAGGCACGACTGTGTTTTGCAAGTCTCCATTCACATCGGGTGACTGCAGAAGCGCGGCTTTCCTGTGTCAGTGTGTGTGGTGGCAGAGGCACAGATTTCCCCTCTCTCAGCAAAGACCCTTCTTCCAACTCCCAGCCTGGATTTCATCCCAGCTGCTCCAGGAGCACAGCCGTGACCCTTTGAAGGCAATATCAGAGTTCCTGCTACCACTGTGCATCAGCCCTAGATATATTCTGATGCATCCCTGGGTACATTTTGGGTGAGATGACTCAGACCTATTGCCCCCTAGGATGGAGGGATGGGGCCAGGTGCGATTCCTCATCTCTGCTGTGGTTCCTGGCAGTACCCTGGGCCAGCACCTGCCACCTCTGTGGGAGTGCCGACGTGGGGGGAAGGAGCCCTGGGGCTGGGGTTTGTTTTGGGGCAGCACTTTACTGGGGAGGTCTCCATGGGAATGCCCAGGAGGGCTTGGGAGATGGTTCAGTGGTGGGGGACAGCAGGTCCCCCATTCCAGCCTATGTTAAAGGGCTCTGATGCCCTTTAACAAAAAAACAATTTCCCTTTGCAGCTTTTTCTGCCTTTTCTATGTTCAAGGCAACCAAAATATTATCTTCCAGTTCTGAAAACTAACATACTTCAAAAATTCATTGTTTAAATGTTTCTGTTTTCCTTTTTATGATGACTGCCACTCCCACGCTGAGAAGAGGCAGAGCCTGGCTGAAGCCTGGGTGAATTGAGGTGAGCTGGCACGGGCAGTTCACAGCAGGCTCTGCGGCAAGTTAATCTTTTGGGACTGTAAAACCATGGGGGTTGTGGTGTGCAGATACATTGCTGGGCTCACCCGTGGCCTCGCTCCGTGCTGACATCACTTTGCTCTCTGGTTAATGACGCTTTGGCTAGTCCTTACTTAGGGACAGCAGGATTTTTTCATGCAACATAATTTCTATTAAAGGGAGAAGGGATTTTTAGAAGAGATGAAACCTAAAAGCTGCATTCTTAGTATTATCAGCTTTGCTAACTAGCACTGGCTAAGCTGGAGGCCGGACGATCGCCCTGAGATGCTGGAGCCATCCATAGCTCCTTTGGACACAAGAGGGAGTCCTGAATCACCAAAAAGAGAGGTTTTGCTTTGGCTGCTGTCGATTTAAACGTTTTTCCCAGCCCTGAGGAAACACTGGTCATCACTTGGAGGCCTTTTGCTCGCCACCACGGCGGGGTTAATCCAGGAGTGTGGATTATCCCCGTTTACAGTGGGGGCAGGTCAGCTCACTGGTTGGGTCCTGGCTTCCTTAAAGGACTGTGAATTATCCCTGAAATCAAGCGGAGTTGGTAGCCGCCCCTCACATTTTGCAGCCCCCCCCTCACATTTTGCAGCCCCACACAGCATCAGCTCCTCCGAGGGCATCTGCCCCAGGTTTACGTCTGCCCTGGGTCTGGGGGCAGGTGGCAGAGGGGACAGGGAGGCCCTGGCACCCGCTGCCCCCGTGGGACATTAGCTGCTCGACAGGGATATTTTGGGTGGCGTGCCTGTCCCGTATCACCCAGTTTAATGAGGCACAGTATAATCAAAAGGCAGCTTCCAAGGAGGAACAGGCAGGAGGTGGTGGTGACACGGTGGCACACGGCCAGTCAGGACAGCCAAACACTGCAATAGATCAGGCAGGGTCCTGCCGAAATCTGGCTGAAAGGGCTTGCTCCTTCCCACATCAAAGTCACGAGGAAACCTCCAGCTGCCCCGAAACGGAGCTGGGGCTGGTCCCGGACGTGCCAGACTCAGGCTCGGCAGCGTCCCCATCCCAAGGCAAGGCGCCA